GAAGGAAGAAGTGAGTGCTCAAGAATCTGGCAGGGACAGATTAAACCTGCTCCTTAGAAACTTAGGACCTGGGGCCAAGTCTGCCTGGGCTCTGGAAGGGGTCTGGGGGCCAGAGCAGTGGTTGGGAGCCCTGCTAGCACTCCTAGGGATGAGGGAAGCCAGGGGAACCAGATGGGAAGTCAGGATACGGGGTCTGGGTGGGATCATGGTTAGAGACCTTTTGGACGGTGGGAAAGGAGGGGCTATATGCTGGCAATAGATGTTTACCGAGCATCAGCTATGTACCTAGCCCCGGGCCCGGCTGGACATTGCCCCCGATGGGCACACAGCCTTGACCTATGTTTACTGCAAGGACAGAGGGCTGGGGGCCTCAGCAGCCTGGGAGGGGAGGGGAGGGGAGGGGAGCTGGGGGCCCCAAAGGCACGCACAGCACCAAGACAGCACACTGGCTGGGGGGCCACAGCATTTGTTCTGGGGGCCAGAAGGGACAGGTAGTGGTCCAGCCTCCCTTGCTCCCCACCCCTGCAGGACAGGACAGAGTGCTGTGGGAGGCCCATGCCCTCCTTCTTGACCGGGCCCGCGCAGTGGCCTGACAGGTAGCTTCTTTGTCCTTCCTCTGCTGCCTGCTGATGCTCTACTGTGGGGGAGACCCAATGCACTGACTGGGGGCCTTGGCCAGACCCCTCCTTCTGTCCCTCCCTCTGCAGGTGGAACCCGGACAGGTGGGGAGGGAGGGACTAGCTGGACTGCAGAAGGCAGGGTGGTAGGGGCCTGCTGCACTTTCCAGGGAACCTGTCTTTGGGAGGTGAGGGTGGAAGTGGGCTGCTTCTGCAGACTCTCCCCACTGGATCAGGCCTGGCTTCCAGCCGTGTCCTCCTCTGCTTCCCTCTCGTCCTCAGTGGAGGCCCCTGAGCAGGAATCCCCACAACAGAACCCTGTCCCCCCAAATCTGCAGGGGACATAGGGACTTCAGAAGAGTGTGGGGAAGAAGGATGGACAGCTTGAGTTGAAAGACAAAACTCTGGAACTGGATCATGGGGTCTGACTTCTTTCTAGCTCTGTCATTGACTTAGTATGATCTTGGCCTGGTCCCTGCCTCTCTCAGCTCTGTTTCTCCATTTGGAGGTGGAGGACCTAAGTCAAAGTGTCTTAAACTTTACTATTGGTCAAAATGCAGAGTCTGTTTCAGCTGATCTGGGGTGAGGCCTTAGAGTCCTCATTTTTTTTTCTTTGTTGAAGATTTTATTTTTAAGTAATCTCTCCACTCAACATGGGGCTCGAACTCACAACCCTGAGATCAAGAGTCGCACGCTCGCTCTTCTGACTGAGCCAGCCAGGCGTCCCTGGAGTTCTTATTTCTAACAAGCTCCCACATGCTTCTGGTGCTCCCGGTCCATGGACTGCACTTTGAGCAACAAAGACTTAACCCATGCAGCTTAGACCTTCAGGACCCAGGGTCACTTGAGCCCTCTGTGACCTCACAAGGCATCCAAAGGAAGCCTTGGGATTAGCTCTAGGCTTTGGGCTAACGGAGCTGGCAGTGCTCAGGTTGAGGGGCATGGGAGTTCCTTGAGCCCCCAGCTGAGGCTGTGTTTGGGTAGAAAAGTCCCTTCTTGGCCATAGGTCGATTTGACCAAGGGTTACTTTTGTCTTCAGGGGGTCTTAGGACATCTGCATTGTGAAGGAACACAGCACAACAACCCACCAGTTACCCTGGCGGCCCTCTGAGGAGGTGGCATTTTTTTTTTTTTAAGAGAGCATGTGCGTAAGGAGGGGAGGGGCAAAGAGGCAGAGGGAGAGAGTATTTTAAGCAGGCTCCACACCCAGCACGGGGCTCAATCTCACCACCCTGAGATCATGACCTGAGCCAAAATCAAGAGTTGGACGCTTAACCGGCTGCGTCCCCGGGCGCCCTGAGGAGCTGGTATCCTTAATGAGGACAGCAGCTATCATAAATAAGTACTGTACCTCACAACACTGAGAAGGGCAAGGTGACCACGAGGTAGCTGGGCATGCTCAGCTTTAGCAGCCGCATGCCTATCCCTTCCGTGGAAAGACGCCACACTCTCTCAGGAAAGAAGGAAGCAGGCAGAGCCAGCTGCCTTCCCACGCTGGGCTTCCCCTCAGCAGCCTGTTGACACGCCTTGGGTTAGGGCACACGTCATGGTGTGGTAGTTACTCACTGGCACGTCTGGGACTCTTCGGAAGGGCTGGGTGGATTCCTTTGGGCATCTCCCACAGCATTTTTGGCACAAAATGCCCTTGCCAATGCCCCACTAATCCTAGCGGTTTAGTGACAGGGATGGTGTTAACCCCGAGGGCACCTCGGGTAGGAGAGGGGCTGTGGAGAGAGGCCTCCAGCAGGTCTGGTTCCCATCCTGGCTCCATCCCTTTGCTAGGGCTTCCTCACCTGATCTGGCAAGGAATGGGGGACCTAACCGGAGCACTCTGGGAGCTGCTGGAGTACCTCCATTCCTTTAAGATCCTGAATCTTCAGGGCCCAGAAGAAGATGCCAGCATCCCTGGCAGTTCCCACCCCCATCGGGAGAGGTGGAGTTAGGTGGGGGGGAGATCCATGTCTCGTGCTTCCTCTTGGGGGATGATGGTTCCAGCTCTGTGGGGTCCACAGCTGCCATAGCAGCTCCACTTGAAGGGCCAGCTCCTAGCATGAGGAGAGGGGATCAAGGGAGCCCCTTCTTTAGCATCTAAGAGGCTAAAGCATCTCGGGTGGTGGGCAGGACTTCCAAGCTGGGGACCCCAAGAACTGGGCCCTCTGGCCAGCCCCCTGTTCCCCACATCCCCTCCTGCTGTGGTTCCACTTCCTGGCTCTGCTGATGTCAGTTTGGGTCTCTGGATGGGTAGGGAGTCCTAGCCCTTGGCTCCACATGGCCAGCTGTGAGGACTGTGGGGGGCCCACGGGTGAGGAGTACTTAGCTCCGACCTTGTGTGTGCACCTGTATCTATGTGTGGGCGGGTGTATTACATAGGCAGGTGTGTGCTGTGTGTCTGAAGGTCTAAAGGTACACATCTGTGTGCATAAGTGCAGAGTGTGTGTGTGTGTGTGTGTGTGTGTGTGTGTGTGTGTGTGTGTGTGAAGAAGAGGGTCAGGGTGCTCCCAGATATTCTTAAACTCTTGTGCACAGGTTGACTTCTATCTCAGTGCCTGGGAGGAGCTAGCTTCTTAAGTAAGGGGATAGTGAGTTATTTTGCAAAGTGGATAGCAATCCCCTTAAGCCTTGGGTGCCTATCTGAAATCTGCAAGGGATTTGCATAAATTGGGGCCCCACATTTAGAATGGGTTCCAAGTTTGGCGTTCCAGTGGAAGACCCTTTCCCAGGTCCTCATGGCGCTGCGTGCACAATGCCCTGGGTGCTAGCCCACTGTCCAGCACGGGCTGAAAGGAGCTGGAGCAGCGTCAGCCTGTGCCGGCTCTCGGGGGGGGGGGGGCGGGGCAGGGCAGGGGGGGCTGAGGGAACAGAGAGGGTGTCGTCAGTCCTGGGGGGGGGCGGCGGGAAATAGGAGATGAGGCCAGATCCTGCCTGGCGGGTCTGTCTCGGCTTACACTCCCAGGGAAACTGGTCGCCCTGGGTGGAGACTGGCGCCAGATATTAGGGCCCTGAGGACCCGGCCCCGAGCTCCAGGAAGAGGCAAGGCAGAGCGCGTGGGGTGTGGTGTGGAGACACCCTTGGCAGGGCCCCTTGTATGAGGCTGGCCCGAGGGGTGCCAGAGAGACTAGGCTGTAGCAGGAAGCCAGGCCAGGATTTTGAGCTTCTGGTGTAGAGGGATCTCTATGGGGGTCCCCATCTATGGGCCCTGGCGACGGGCCTTGGGGGCAGGCTCTTCAGTGTGGCAAGAAGAGCTGGCTGGGCCTTGGGGTCTGGTCTGTTCTAATGCTGCCTGGCTGTGTGTGACTGGACAACACACTCTCTGATTCTCAGCCTGCCCCTGGTCCCTTGGGGGCCCTTTCAGCAGTGACATGCCAGGATTCCAGGTGACCTGCCCCAGTCTTGTGAGTGGAGGATCTGGGGGATGCCGGGATGGGAAGGGGCTGCTGAGAGGCGTCCTGGCAGGTACTCTAAGGGCAGCACAGTGGGGAGGAGGGAGTTTCCTCTCTTGCCCTAGTTCCTGGTTCAGATGTTACCGATATGGAGACACAGGGAAGAGGTGATTCTGCTCCCCAGACACCGGTCAGCTGTCAAAGGCTGGCTGGGGCCCTCCACCCCCAATCTAGCTGTGCTCAGGCCCCGGGGCTCTGACACCCCAGAGCTCCCACACCTCCCACGCTGCGTTTCCTCTGAGGACTTCAGCTTACTGCCAGGCAGTATCACCTGGGATCCAGAATCTGTCCTCATTGCCCATAACCTTCGAAAGGGAGAGGGGCAGAAGGTGGTGACTCCTTAGTAGCTCATAGAGGGTCTTATGGAGACCCTGTGTCTCAAATCCCTTTCTAGCCAGAGGACGGCCTTTCGGGACAGCTGGCTTTTCAGAATCCTTGCTGCTTACCCTGCCATCCCCTGAGGGGGAGCACCCTTTCTTGGTCTTCTTGTTGGGGGGTGGAGACCAGTAGAAATCTTCCTAGTGAAAATCTTCAGGGAGCCAAGGAAAGGCACCAGTGGTGGTCCTCTCGTCTCCCCCGAAGCACCAGGTCCCAGCCTTGGGATCCCTATGGCCCCCTGTCTCCTGACCTTTGCCACTCCAGCCGCTTGAGAGGTAGGTGCAGAGGGACAAGGTTGTGGAGGCCAAAACTCAGGCTAAGAAATCTATGGCTGGGACACTGAATACATCTCCTGATTTCATTGTTTCTTTGAGCTCCTTGGAGGGGGCGTAGCCTATCTCTACTAACCCAGAGGGCTTTGGTCCCATCCCACAAAGACTGGCCCACCTGCCTACACAGGTGGGGGCAGAGAAGATTTGAAAGGCCCCTGGAGGTGGAAATTTAGGGTTCCTGTGGCCCTGTCCAGTGTGCAGGCTGGGGCCTGGTGGGACAGCCTGCCCCAGGGAAGTGCAGCCCGGTGTGGACAAGGGCCCAGTGCATGGTCAGACAAATAACACACAGCTGTCCAGAACCTCCACAGCACCATTTATCCAGGCCCCATGGAGTTGAGTGCCCCAGCTGCTCACCCCCCAGTCCTTGGGCGAGCACAGACATTGCAGCGGCCCCCGGCCTGAGACCCTGCCCACTCCGCAGGTGGATATTAGGCCTGGTCCGGGGCCACAGACCCATACTGCCTACATAACCTCAGCCTGTCAAGGTGGGGCTCTGGGTATGAACTGGCCTCAGACCTTCCTCCATCCCACACTCTCAGGGGCTCCATCAGCCTGGGCTAGCTCGACACTGTGTTAAATAGCTTCCTTGCAATCCCCCTTAAATAAACCCATCCCCAGAGCAACCCACCCCATCTCGCACCCTGAATATATTATTCTACTGGCTTATGTCTCCTAGAGAGTGGAGGGGCTCCCTCCTCCTGCCCTCTACTCCAGGGAATACCATCTCCCTAAAAAACCAGGGGAAAAAGTTTTCCCATCAACTCTGGGGCAGAGACAAAGGGAGGCCTGGCTTGGAGTGGAAAAGCCAGGAATCCCCGTCTATCCCCCCGACCCTCCCCTCTCCTTGTCCTCTTAGCAGCCTGGGTCAGCTGTGACTCACCCAGGATACAGAATCCTGACGTATCTAGGAGGTCGTTCTGGTTTTGACAGCCCAAACTAGCTCCAGGGCAGGGGGACCGACTCCAAGCCTGCCTCTGACCTTGGCCCGCCCCCTTGCAGTTCTCCAGGCATGGAGAAAGCTGGGGAGATTCCAGCTCTTGACTCTATTTGGTCCCGGACCCCTGGGACTTCCTCCCAGCACCCTCCACCGTAGATGTTCCCAGGTATCTCTGGCTCTGGGGATACTCAGACAGCGCCAGGGCATGGGAGCAATGGGGCCGGGGCCTGAGCAAGCCTGTCCCTGGCCTGATCAGCATCTGGGCCCAGGCCAGGCCTCACACCCAGTACTGGCCGTTCTTGAGAGCAGGGTTGGGTGTCCGGCAGAACTGCAGCAGCTCTGGGTTAGGCTGGCCCCCCGGTGGGGGTCCCTGGCTGGGCACCGCTGTAAGCGGGATGGCTTGGCCCGGCTCTACCTTGCGGAAGGTCTCGGTGTCGCCAGCTAGGCCATTGCGGGGCTTGGCAGTCAGGACCTGGACATCGTGCTTGCCTGTCTTGTTGCGTTTGCGGAGGTAGAAGAGCAGGGGCAGAATGAGTGCCAGGAGCAGGAGGACCAGGCACACGGGAATGATGACACTGAACATGTTGGCCTCCAGGAAGCCCAGGAAGCCCCCACTGGCCACGGTGGGCACGGGGCTGGAGGTGAATGGGCCTGGCTCCCCCGTGGGGGTGCTGCTCTCTGGTTTCCTTGCTTCTGTCTGAGCAGGCTCGGGGAGACTGAGCAGGGCCACGCTGTAGGGTCGGGCCTCATCATAAGGCTCAGTGTCAAAGTCCAGCGAGGCCACGGCAGGGGGGACACCCTGTGCCCAGAGCTCCAGAGTGAGACTGTCGCCCGTGGGGCCGGGGGACCGACCCTCTGGACTGCCTACCTCCAGCCCCAGCCTTCCATCCTCAAGGTCCTGCTGGGTGAATTGCTCCACAAGCTGGCTGTCCCTGGGCTCCGTCCTGGCCCGGGGCACGCGGACCACGCGGCCATGCCGGGGTCCCGCCAGGAGCCGGAAACGGGGCACACTACCCGTGCGGTTGGCCAGCTCGCCGGCATCTAGGACAGTGGAGTCCAGGCGCAGGGTGGCCCCCTGGGGCCACGGCCCACCCGCTCCCACGCGCAGCAGAGCCCTGACGGTGACGTTCACTGTGGCTGACGCGTTGGCACCTCGGGCCAGTGCCAGGATGCTGAAGTGGTCACGAGAGGAGGAGAAGTTGGTGAAGGTGAAGACCACCTCCCCCTGGTCTACCTGGAGCTGGCTGAAGGTGGCGGCGGGCTGCCCGGCCACTAGGAGCTGCCCGAACCGGGGCCCCCCCATGAGGTGGTAGGCAGCGTCCGGCTCGTCCCGGTCTGACACCACCCGCAGCTGCTGCCGGCTCAGTGAGGAGCGCCCCAGGGCCTGTGGCACCTCTAGGGGCGCACGCAGCTGCACCTCGATGGCCGACGGCAAGACATCCACGGCCAGGGACACGGGCACGGGAGGGCTGGCCCCGTCGGATGCGCTCAGCTGCAAGATACCAGCCACGCTACTCCCGTTGGCCACGAAGGCCAGCCGCCCGGCGTCCACGTCGGCCTGCGTGAAGCGGGTCACGGGCCCTGGGCCGGCCCCTGCCAGGCTCAGGAAGCCGTTGAGGGGGGCACGCTGCACCTCGTACTCGATCTCCCCAGGCGCCGAGTCTGGGTCCACCACACTGAGCTGGGCCCGCGAGACAGGCGCGCGGGAGCCCCGGGTGAGCCGGAGTGGCACGGACGCCTGTGGCCGAGGTGGCCGCTCATTCACGTCCCGCACGGTGATGGCGAAGGCCTCTGAGGTTTGGGGTCCCGCCACGGAGGCCCCCGCTGGCCCCTGGAGGTGGGCACGGAATCGGAAGCCATCCTGCTGAGTGCCCCCGCCGCCGTGGGCATAGGCCAGCTGCCCTGCAGCCAGCTCGGACTGTAGGAAGTGGGGCCGGCCGGCGTGGAGGGGCTCCTCGGACACCAACAGCTGGCCCCGGGTGGGGAACTGTGTGATTTGGAAGAGTACGTCATGCTCTGGGCGCTGGGGTGACGGAATGCTGGCCAGGAGGTTGGAGGCATCTAGGGAGGCCGTGGTGATCTCGGCCCGCTGGCCTTCGGGGACCCAGAGACCTGGGGGTGGGATGTAGGCTATGAAGGTCCTGTCCACTGAAGATAGGCCTCAGAGCCTCAGACTAGGACCTCCACGACAAGGTTGTGCCTTTTCCCTCAGACCAAGTCCCCCGGGGTGGGGTTCAGGGTCCCCTGGAGGATGAGGATCACGTCTCCTCTCTGACCTCGAAGTGTCCCCATCTTCTCACCCTCCCTTAACTTCCCAGGTCCTGGGGACTGACATGGGCGCTGTTGACCCCGGCCTTGTGTCCCCTCGTCTCTGGACCCGCCCAGTGTCCCCCCAACTGTGCCAGCCCATCATGCGGTTCACCTTGGTTCCTCCAGAGGCGGCTGGGGCGCCGGGGACAGGCAGCCTCGAAAGACACAGCCACAACAAGAGTGGTAGCCACATCGGGGGCAGGGGGTGACGACAGCTGGAGCTGCAGGGCATCGTGGACCTCCCAGAAGGGCTCAGGAGGCATCGCGTGCTCATATAGAACATTCCCAGCATACACCTGTGGGGGCACCCCGTTTTGGGATGAGAGGCGGGTTGAGCCCGCGGTGCGCGGGAGCCCCTTCCAGGCTCCTTGACGAGCCCTCCGTGCCCAGCTTCACTCTCGACTCTCCTGGCTCTCCCCGGCCCACGGCTGTAACCTGTGCTCTCCCTCACTAGTGGGTCACATGGGCAGTCATGTGGCAGTGAGGAGACTGGGCTCCAGGGCCCAGTCTGGGCTCTGCCACCTCAGGCAAATCACCTCACGCCTCTGAGCCCCCAGGGAAAGCAGTATTCTATCGCTTCTGCCGACAGCTGGTCCTTCCACTTCCGCCCTGGGTCCCCGCCCCTCTTCCCCACTGAAGACACCAGTTTACCATCTTCCTTCTTTCTCCTATGGCAACAATTTCCCCCCAAAAGGGAACATTCCCATCATTACTCAACCATGTTATTCTCTCTTCCACGCCCATTTTTTTTCCTTTTAGAGATGTATTTATTTAGTTTTTGAGAGAGCAAGAGCCTGTGCGCATGCAGGGGAGAGGGGCAGAGAGAGAAACTCCAGCAAGCTCTGTGCTGAGCACAGAGCCCAATGCAGGGCTCGATCCCACGACCCTGAGATCACGACCCTGAGATCGCAACCTGAGCCGAAACTGACTCAGATGCTTAACCGACCGCGCCCTCCAGGCACCCCCTTTCTTCCCTCTTAAAGAGAAGACTCATGACTTCACTTTTTCCACCAAATTTGTCACCCCTCTCCCCCATTTTGCTCTCCATTAGCAAAACTCCAAAAAGAATAGTCTATAATCTCCTGCATGCTGTCCTGAGTGCAGTCTACCCAGGCTTTTCCTCCTGTTCTCACCCAAGGGTGCCCACGGCGTCTGCATTGTTAGATCCAACGGTGGGTTCACGGGCCTCGTGTTACTCACCTGCTTGGCAGCATTGGACATAATTATGCATTGCTTCCTCTACCATCCGCTGGCTTCCAGCGTGTCCCACTCTCTTGTTTTCCTCCTGCCTCGTTAATTGCTCCTTCACAGACTCCGTGCTCCCCCCTCTTCTCTCCAACGCCTATAGCTTGGCCTTTAGAGTCTTCTCTATCTACAGGCACATCCCACGTGTCCTCCTAGGTCAGCTCTGCAGATGACCCCTTACTTCTGTCTCCATCCCAGACTGCTCTCTGCCGAACTCCAGACTCACATTTCCACTTGCTTTCTGGCAGCTCGGTGTGGATGTCTAAGGGCCGGCTCAAAGGTGGCCTGCAGCAGACCCACTCCTGACCTGCGCGCCTCTGCTAGTCCTCCCGCTTCACATGATGGCAGCTCTGTTCTTGCAGTGGCTCAGGCCCAAACCCCTGGAGTCATCCCTGACTCCTCCCTCTTTCCCATGCCATCACTTCTGGCCTGGATTATTGCCATAGCCTCCTGTGTCCCAGCTTTGGCCCCTGATCCCTCCCCTACAGTTGTTCTTAACATCGAAGCCAGAGTGAGACTTTTAAAATGTAAGTAAGGTTACTGTCCTTCTTGCTCAGATAGTACAGTGTCTCCTCCTTTGACCACAAAGATCCCACTCTGACCCCTTAGCCCTGTGACCTCGCCTCCTACCCACTGCCATCACACCTGCTGTTCTCCAGGGCTGTTTGCCTGGTAAACACCCGGGGATATTCCTCACTTCCATGAAGAAGTATGCTCCCTCCCCCTGCTAATCCAAATGTGTCCCCTTGGCTTATCTATTTCCTCTTCTCAGAAAAACAGGGCTTGCGCAATACCGAGATGCAACCCAGGGTCCCAGCGTGGGGGAGACTCTAGGACTGCAGGGTAGTGATGACCTGGAGAGCAGTGCCCCATCTAACAGGGGAGCCACCCATACGCTAAAGGGGGATCACCTCGGTTCTAAAGGGGGAGCAGAGCCTGGGTGAAAGGGGTGGCTACTCCTCAGCTGATTGCTGTAGGAGGGAACAGAGCCTTTTAAAAAACTGGAAATCACAGGCACCTGTGGCTTAGATGGTTAAGCGTCTGCCTTTAGCTCAGGTCATGATCCCAGGGTCCTGGGATCAAGCCCCATGTTGGGCTCCCCGATCAGTAGGGAGTCTGCTTCACCCTCTGCCCCTCCCCCCTACTTGCACTCACTCTTTCAAATGAATAAATAAAAAATTAAAAAAAAAAAAAAGAAACTGGAAATCAGGCTTGTGTGTGTGTGTGTGTGTGTGTGTGTGTGTATTTGTGAAATCCCCTAAAGGTTATATGTTGACCATTAATTTAAAAATATTAAATGCCTTGTGCAGACCAAATGAAACACATCTGTGGGCCAGACGCGGCCCGCAGGGACCATGAGCTGCAACCTCTGGCCCGGGCTGAAGGGTGGCAGGAAGCGGAGACCCCCCAGGAGTGGGGTGGGAGGATGGATGCCTGCGGGAACTTCTGTGGATAGGAGGTGTCTGATTGGGGGTGAGGCAAATCACAGGCAAGATGGGGAGGGGTCTCTGAGCTCTGGGAGCAAGCGGTGTCCTCTGGTGAGAGAAATTTTGGACTAGCAGTCAGATTTTGGTTTTGCCTCTTACTAGCTGTGTGCTCTGAATAGTCACCTGATCTCCGTAAGCCTCAGTTTCCTTGTCTGCAAAACGGGACACCTGATCCCTGCCCCACCCAACTCAGTATTGCAGGACAATGGTGCTGTCAAGACATGACCCAGTCCTGCCCTGCCCCTGTCCCAAAGCCAGGACAAAGTCTCTGCCACGAAGCCTCTTCCTAGCTTCCCAGGGTGGCACTGCCATCCTGGCCCCCTGGTGGCCATTCACATTCATCCCACGTATTGCAGGGGTGTGGGGAAAGCACTGTGGGTTGGGGCGGGACCCAGAAGGTCTGGCCCTCTTCCCTCCCCCTTCCTGGGCATCTGATGACAGTGGCTCCCAGGGACTCAGGGTGTCCAGCTGCTGTAGCCGCCAGCCTGCTGAATCTCTTAGTGTGGGAAGGAGACCTGGGCAGAAGCCAGGACTTCATGAGAACAGAAAACCTGGGCCCGGGGGATGCCGACGTGAGACCTTTTGCCGTGTACCCCTTGTTAGGGCCACCTCTTTCGCTGATGCCTGAAAGCTCCCCACCTGCTCTACCTTTGGAGAGAGCCAAGGCTGCCAGGCACTCACAGTAAGTACCTCCTGCACTTGGAAGGGGTGTTGATTTTAGCGATGGCTGCCTGTCCCCCGCCCCCCGCCCCCCGCCCTGGCACAGTTGGCACAGAGAGCCCTGTGCCCCCAGCAACCTAGCAGTATACCTCTTCTCATGGCTAAGAGTTCTAGTGTTTAACCGGTGGCCTCTGGCGTGCTCTGGACAGCTAGGCCCGGAAGAGAGATGGCAGCTTCACTCCCACTTCAACCTCTTCGGCTGCCTTCTGTCCACTCATCTGCTCCCAGGATCCGCTCAACTTCTTGCTGGCTTCTGACCTGAGCCCCGGGTTCACATCTCTCACAAGCCCAACAGCTGCCTTCGTGTCAAACTCCACCCCTGAACCAAGTACGGCCCCTTGCTAGCCATGGGAGTATTCTAGTGTCCCTGACTCAGAGCACCCTCTCCAGCTCCTAAGGTCCAACTGCAGCTTCTGGAAGCCATGCCCCAGGACCCTATCCCTGCTCTGGGCCGGGATCTCTTGCATCCTCTGCCTACCGGACTGGTGGCTCCCGGAGGGCAAGGCAGGCACAGCCTGGGCCGTGGTGTGGCCAGGGAGTGTCTGCTACCCACGATGTGGGAGCGGTGCCCACGTCCACCACGTCCACAGGCAGAACGGGTCACCCGGGGCTGAATGGAGTCTACGTGGTGGCTATGGAGAGCTGGGCCCTTACCTCGGCTTGAGTGAAGCTCACCAGGGCCTCCCCAGTGCTGCCCTGCTGGGCACGGAACAGCCGGCCCAGCCGGGGGCCCTGCAGCACACGGTAGATCAGGTGCCGGGGGTCGGTGCCTGTGCTGGAGCTGGCTCTCAGGCTCTGGCTGCTGAGCGGCTGGACTGACCCTGTGAGAGGCAGAGGGGTCTGTTGGCCTTGGACCAGGAGCCAGGGCGAGGTCTGCGACTGCTGGTGAAGCAGCATGACCCTGGCGTGTCACCTGGCCTTCAAGGCATGCTGTGCTCTGCAGACCCACCTGGGCATACGGTCAGCGTCCGGCTGCCCTCCAGGGAGAGAAGCAGCTGCTTCTGGGCCGTCACGCGGAAGAAGTGTCCGGGGGAAGTGTGCTCCCCATCGGAGAGGCTGAAGCGAAAGCCGCCGTCCAGGGCGCCTGTGGATGGGGGTGGAGTTGGGTCTCGCTGGCCCATGGTGGCTCCCCATCCTCAGGGCACCACACCTCTGAGTACCCACCTCTGTGTGAGAACAGCACGAGCCCGCCGTCTAGCTGGGCCTGGGTGAAGCTGTGGACCTCGGTGCCTGGCGCCGCCCGCAGCACCACCCGCCCATTGCTGGGCTGCTCGATGGTGTAGACCAGGTCCTCCGGTCCTGAGTCGCTGTCTGTGCCCCTAAGAGCCTCCGGAGGGAAGGGCACCATGGCCCCCTCCCACATCTGGGGACACAGGCCTGTGAAGTTTCTGTCCCCACCACGCTCTCCCACCTTGCTCCTCCCTGGCCCCGAGGCCATCACCATCACACTGCAGGTCAGGCCGGGGCCAGGCTGGGCTCCCCCTCACAAAGGGCCCTCCACCCCATTCACCTTCCCCTGTCACCCCAGGGCCCAGGCTCCCTTCTCTCTGCCCTAATCCTGCTTGTTCTCAGGGCCAGCCCATGTCCCCGACCTCAGGAAGCCCCTAGCTCTTAACCCTCACAAGTTCTCTCCCTTTAGAGAACCCCCCCACCCAGCCCTGACTGCCTATGCCGCTATCATTAAATGACTCTGTCTCACTGGCAGGGCAGGGGTCTCCCTTTAGACCCTCCATAGTGAGTCTGGGCATGGGCTGGGCATGCTCCGGGAATGGTGAGTTTGCCTCTCCCGGATGCTTATGAATGGGCTCCCCCTCCGGGTGAGGGAGGGCATGGGAGGCACAGAGGCTGGAGAGGCTGAGAGTTGGCCCCTGTCCCTTGGCACGGAAACAACATTGCCATGAGAGCTCAGGTGTTTTCAGTGTAGTCCCGAGGCCCAACCAGGTGGGGGAGGGGTGTGGGCAGCCCCTCCCCACGCTCAGAGCGAAGAGCAGCCCCCCTCGGCCTCCCGCCTGTCAGCAGGGTAGGATCCCATTTCTGGGATCCTGTTACGTGACTCTGGCTGGGTTAGCAGCTTGGGCAGCCTCGGGGAGGGGCTCCCATACGGGGAAAACCAAGCCCTCTGTGATTCCAGGGTACCTCCTCCCAGCCCCAGGCTACCCCCAGGTCTAGCTCTGGAGGGGGGACCACCGCGTGGAGCGCCGGGCTCCTGGCACAAACACGGTGGACAGCATCACCTGCTGGCCAAGATGCCACACAGCGCCACCTGCCTATGGTTCCAGGGCAGCCCTTAGTCCGTACGCCCCCTGCTCTGCTGGCCTCCCCACCGCTGCACCGCTCTCTCAGGTACATCCTCTACCATCGAAGGTGTCCAGTGCCTCATATCACAGACAGCCCAAGTCAGCTCTCTTCTGAATCCTTCCATGGCTCCTGTTGATCCTAGAAGCTGGCATCAAGGCCCTGCCCATCCATTATCTTGTGTGATCTTGGTCAAGCCATGCCCTTTCTGTTCCACCAGTAACTACCTCTGTGACCGTGCAGAAATGTTGTGCCCTGCCTGGGCCTCAGCTTTGACCTCTGCTGAGTGAGGGTACTGCTGTTCTGCGGGATGTAAGGGGCAGGAGCTCGGGAAGCCAAGGTGTGGCCGTCACCTGCTGTGGGTGCAAGTGAGGAGTTTAACCACTCTCCACCTGGAGTCCACCTTTAAGGGCTTGAAAGAACTTTCTTCAAGAGTTCTGGTCCTGAGCCAGAGAAAAAGTCTCCTGCTGAGGGCGAGTCCAGGGAACAGCAGGGCCAAGGATGGCCATTCACAAGGCTGCCTACTGCACTTATAAGTGTTCAATAACAAAGTCTCATACCTGTGTCCTATTTTCAGTGCAATAACTCTTCTCTCTTCCCAACAACCTAGTGAGGCATGTGGCATGGTCCCCGTTTCAGAGAAGGAAACTCAGAGGCTCAGCAAAGGGAAGCTATGTGCTGGGCCTCTCTTTGGGAAGAGAGGTAGGAGGTGACCCCAGGCTGCTCTCACCTTCAGACCTGTGTTTGTGGTGAGGATGGGGGGTTGGTCATTGACGGGCAGGATGGTGACGGTGAAGGCCACAGGTTGGCTCTGGCGGTCCATCTCTGAGGCATTAGCCACCAGGATGAAGCTGTCTGTCAGCGTCTCACTCCCATCGTGCACATAGCGGATCAGCTGCTGTTCCACCTGCAGGCAGGCCCAAGGCTGAAGGTCAGGCCCCAGCAGGCCCGAGAGCTGCGTGAGTCTCAAGCCCAGCACCTTTCTTGCTCTGCCTTTGGGTTGTGGGGTGGGGAGCCTGACTCCTTCAGAGCTTCAGTTCCTGCAGGTGGAAATGGGGACAGCCATTTCTCCCAGAGTGAAGGACCGAAGGAGTCAGGGAGATGGGACAGTCATTTCCAGATGCCCAGAGAGGAGGGAGTGACGACAGGGATCTAAAGCAGAGGCCTTCCCTCCGTGGGAACGCCCTGCCTCCTCTCAGTGGTGGGCCCAGACGGGGAGTGCCCACGACACCCACCCCCCACCCCGTCGCCGCCCTGCGCCCAGAGCCGGGCTGCACACCCAGGGCCTCCCTGGAGCTGTACCTCTTTCCAGGAGAAAGCGCTGAGGGTCCCGTCTCGGGGACCGTCCTCTCTCCGCAGGGCCCCGTGCTGGGGTGGCTCTTGCACCTGCAGCTCCAGGCCTGGCAGCGCGGGGAAGTAAGGCCCGGTGACGCGGAGCAGTGGAGGGGCCAGCGTGCGGGCCCCGCCCTCAGGGACGCTGAAGTTCTGTGTCTGCAGGGGGATGGCAGCAGGCAGCACCTCCAGCTCCACGCGGACACCCTCCAGGGGTGCACCCAGGCCTGAGGCCACATCCAGGGAGAAGGCGTCCCTCCATGCCTCCGGGTGGGAGTGCAGGTACAGGACCCTGCCGGCATCCACCGCCTCCTGAGAGAAGCTCTGCACCGGGTCCAAGCTGGGTGGCCCTGCCGCCGAGGCGCCGTGGGACAGCATCACCAGGTAGCCGGCCCGCGGGGGCGTCTTCACCGAAAACACAATGTCCGCGGGTGCCACTGCCTCCTGGGCTGCCTGGTTAATGGGGGGTCACAGAGGGAAGCTGTCGTGGTCCCTAGGCGGTCAGAACAGGCTCGGTCTCCCGGGGAGGGCCGCAAGACACCACCGCTTGCTTAGACGCACAGACCGCACTCAGGCTCACACAGACACCACCCAGACATGCAGCTGGTCGGGGGCGGGGGGCTGCACGCTCGCGCCGTCCCCACCCCCAGTCACACGCCCCCAAACTCAGTGACACGGACGTGCAATATCAGCACACACTGACGTGTGGACACAAGACACACACGCACATCTCACACATAACACGCCCGCACACGCACATACACAGAGGCAGCCCCTGCCCCCGCTATTGCTACTCTTCACCACCAGATGGCGCGCCATCCTCCTGAGAGGCACGGGCGCCACACACTACAGGCATTATCGGGCCAGAAAACCCAGGTCCTGCCCAAGGGCCACTGGGGGCTCCCTCACCTGATGGGCCAGCTACAGAAGGCTACACGTCACCCCCAACTCACACTCCTGATCCGGTGCCTTTGCCTGGAATACTGTCTGTATTCCAGAATTCTGTTCTCTCTGCCCGGAATACTGTCCCCTCATTCCCTGCTGCTGAAACCCCAGACTCTTCAAAGCCTGGCTCAAATGCTGCCTCCTTCATGGCAAAGCCTTTCTGATGCCAGACATGTTTAGTCACAGTCTGCCCCCAAATCCAGACAGCCGGAAACCGCTCAGAAGGGCTCAGAAATCGGCAGTGTGGCAGAGAAGGCAAGGACTGGCCTGAGGTCACACAGTGGGTCACTAGGCCTGCTGGAAGGCCTGTGGTTGCTCTGTGAAGTTCCTGGATGGTCAGCAGCTCTCTCCAGGTCCTGAGGCCTGGTCTGGGGTCTGGAAAAAGAGCTGAGGACACAGGAGCCTGGAGATCAAACAAGTGTGTCTCCAAGGCCTCCAGTCCTCAAACTCTGTACCCATGAAAATCCCCCAGGGAACTTATTATTAGAAGGCAGATTCTCGGGCTCCACTTCAGAGATTCCACGGTCTGGGTGGGGCCCAGGAATCTGCACGGTCAGCCCAGCATGTGCGTGTGTGCACCTGACATGTGGAGGCACACATAACTCACGGGCAGACACACAAACTCCCCCAGAAACTCTCAGCCATGCCCCCGTGCACGTGTACAGGTGCATACCCAAGGCGCGGACATACACCCGACCTGGGAGTCACCTCGGGCTCATCCCCGAACATCCAAGCACACCTGGCATGAGGGCTCATCAGAAGGGTCCCCTTCATCTGGCCTAGCACCTCTGCCCGTCCCCTCGCCCTTTACCTCCAGCTGATCCTTTCTGATCTCAGCCGCCTCCCCCTGGAAGACGTAGATCTTCTTATGCTGGACCAGACGCAGTGGGGCCATTGGCCCCTCTAGGGCAATGGTCACTTGCAGGGTGGCGTCTGTGTGCACAGGCCCTGCCTCCACGGAGAAGACCAGGGTGTCTCGAGGGCTGAGGCTGCCGTCGTGGCTATAGAGAATGGCCCCGTCCAGCAGGTCCTGTTGGGAGAAGGCCGTGGCTGGCTGGCCGGCCCGGAGCAGCTGCCCCCAGTGTGGACCAGCTGTGACATGGTAGCGGACCTCATCCCCACTGCGGATGTCGAGGTTGGTGTCCAAGTGGAGCACAGCGGTGTCGATGGTGCCCTGGCCTCCTTGAGGGACCACGAGGCTGGAGCCATTGGCCACGTGGAGGTAGGGCTCTGAGGCCTGCACCTCGAGCAGCGCGGTGGCCTGGTGCTGCCCATCAGACACCTGCAGCTGGATCCAGCCACGGTCGGCCCCCGAGTGCACAAACAGGACACGCCTCTTCCTGAGGTCCTCCTGGGTGAAGCGGTAGATGGGCCGCGTTGGCTCCTCCGCGGCCACGATGCTGCCGAAGAGGAGGTCCTTGCGGGTCAGTACCAGCTGAGCGTCAGCAAAGCCGGAGTCAGCATCACTGAAGGCCACGTCGTCTGTCGTCAGCAGCCGCTGCCCAGCCCGGGCCACGTGGAAGACGCGGCTGATGGTCTGCACGGGAGCGTGGTCGTTTACGGGCTGGATGGCCACGCGGAAGACGCCCCGCACCTCCTCCCACGCCGTGCCACCACTGCCGTCACTCTGGCGGGTCGCCACAAAGGGGATATCGTCTTCTGTGGTCTCGGAGTTGTCATGCTGGTAGACCAGCCGGCCCCGCAGCAGGTCCTCGTTGGTGAAGGATGTCACCGCGGTGGCCTTGTCTTGCGCCCCCCTCCAAACCAGCCTCCCATGGCGGGGCCGCTCCATGACCTCATAGAGGTAGTTGGCACTGTTGAGACTCTTGACGAAGAGGTGGTCAGCAGAGAGGGTGCCCTCACCACCCTCCGGCACTGAGAGGAGGATGTTGGTGAGGACGGGAGCGTCCGGGTCACCACCAATGTGGATGGGGAAGGTGTAGAGTGGGGAGAAGTGCGGCGGGGCTGTGACACGGAAGCGGAAGGTGTCCTCGACTGTCTCTGAGGTGCGGGCCGTGGCCCCATAGGTCACCCAGCCGGCCTGCAGGTCATCCTGGGTGAAGCCCTGCCCGTCAGAGAGCCGTGTGCCCTGTAGCCGAAGATTGCCCTTCCTGGGGGCCTGGACCACCTCATAGTGGAAGGTGGTGGGGCTGGGGCCTGCCTCCTCCTCCAAGGTGGCCTCCAGGTGGGCTGTGGTGAGCGCCTCCTGATGGGTGTTCTGAGTGTGCAGTGGCTCCAGCCGCAGCAGCCACACCGTGGCTCTCTGGATTGTCACTGGGAAGGACAGATTGCTCAGAATCTCCTGGCCCACCTGTACCTCCAGGGCCAGCTTCTCCATGGTGTCCTTGGTGCGATGCTGTGGGTCAGTGCTCAGGTATCTCACGCGGCCCTGCTCCACATCCCGCTGTTGGAATGCCTGTGTGGCCCGCCACTCAGCACCCTCGGCCCCACCAGCCCCCTGCTTCTGCAGCTCCCCAAACTGCAGGGCCTCCGTGACTCGGAACAGCACGCTCACATCCTGCCCCACAGCGTTGGTCTCCACCGACAGGTTGGTGGGCAAGACAGGGGCAGCAGAGCCCTGGGCCAGGCGCAGCCCTGTGTTGTGGCGGATCTGAATGGTGGGCCGGACAGCCACCACCTTCAGTGTGGCGGGAGGGCTGGCCTGCAGCCCGTCGCTGACCCGGAACGTCAGGTCCTGGGCGGGCCCACTTCGGTGGACATAGATGAGGCTGCCCGCCTCTAGCTCCCGGCAGGAGAACTCAGTTGCTGGCTCCCCAGGCTGGTCTCGGCGCTCCACGGGGAGGCCGGAGGGGGTGCCAAGGAGCTGGAAGGTGAGGCCCTCGCAGGCGGAGTCTGGGTCGTAAGCCTGAAAAACGTCGGGCCCCAGTGGCTTCTGTGTGTGCTCCAGGATCACCATGAGGCTGCCGTGTGGGAAGATGATACGGGGTGGGTCATTGACGGGGTTTATCTGGATGGGCAGGATGTAAGTTTGGCCCCTCCGAAGGCAGGAGGGCACGGGCCCCCTGGCCGTCACAGACACCTCCAGCATCAGCTGGTCGGAGGTGTCCTCAGAGCCATCGTGGATGAAGCGGGCCTTGCGGTTCACCACGTCCAGGAGGGTGAACATTTTCCGTGCCTGGGCGCCGGGGATGTCTAGCTCGAGCTCACCGTGGCGTGCCCCGCGGCTCACGCTGAACAGCACCTGAGATTTGCGCAGCTCGGCCTCGCTCAGGTCCAGTGTGGGCTGCACATGCCGCCATTCGAGCCAGGCCGTGCCACCCTCGGCCACCACCAGGGGGCTGACGGTCAGCAGTTGGGTGAAATTGGCAAAGATAGGAGGCAGCCCTGGTTCAGGGACACAGGGCTCAGGCAGCTCCATGGCCGGCCAAGCCTCAGGTGCCGAGGTGGAGAAAGCTTCATACGGGCCATAGGGGTCCTCCTCATACTCGTCTTCTTCCGGCCTGCAGCCGGCCGCCATGCCGCGCGTCAGCAAGGCTTCCCGGAGTCCCTGCCTCTGGCCATTGATGCTGAGGTCCTCCATGCAGCCCAGCAGCGAGACAGTGACGGCCCCTGGGGCCAGGCCCAGGCGGTGTTCCTGGAGATGGCGAGAAGAGTTGGTGTCCAGCCCCCCCAGGAGGAGACTGCCACGTGGGTCCAGATAGCTGAAGACCCCACGGTTGGAAGTCCGTGTAGGGTACTGGTCCACGGAGATTTCCAGCTGGTGAGCATCCACGTGGACGCTGACCTCATGGGGTTGCCCATCGGCCACAGGCACGCTGTTGTGGAGCAATACTGTGCCCTGGCCCTTCTCCACCACAGCCCGCAGGTGGCCCTCAAATATGTCCACATAGATGAAATCCCCATGCCGGCCCCCTGCCTGGAAGGCTAGGGGTGCCTGTTGGCTCCGAGTGGTGAGTATAAACTCCAGGGTGCCTTCCTCCCGAGTGCTCCAGGCAGGGAAGGCAGCCAGTGAGTGGGGCCCAGAGAAGCCCAGAGCCACACTGTCATCAGCAGAAAACTCTTCAGCACAGCCCTCGTGCACGCCTGGGGTCAGGGGTCGGAGCAGGTTGCGGCCATTGAGGGTGGCAGCGTGGAGGCAACCCCTCAGGGGCCGGCTAGCTCCCCTCAGGTAGGACAGGCTAAGGCTCCCAGGGCCCCCCAGGAAGATCCCATAGGGGACCTCCAGGGGAGCCCCCAGGATGGGGGCTGAGGTGTTCAGGAGCCCATCGACGGACAACAAGGCCTCGCTGTCTGAAACGGTCAGCTCCACAGTGTGGAGGGCGGAGTTGCTCAGCAGAGTCTCAGCTGGGGTCTGCAGCCTCAGCTCCTCCTGGCCCAGGGTGAGTCTGACCTGGGGAAAGATGGAGGAATGGGAGTGGGGCAGCACTTTGAGTTCATCTGCTTCTACTGTAAGAACACAGCGGGTCTGCCACAGCAAAGTCCCCAGAGTGGAGGTCCTGGGACAGGGGCTTCTCAGGCCACCACTGTCTCCTTCCTACCACCTCTACTCATCCCCCAAACACTCACCAAAGTGATCTCTGAGTCAGGTCTAGATGGGCTCTGGGGTCCCTGATGGGAATCAGAGAGCTGGCATATAGCAAGATGCTTTCCTAGAGATTCAGTCTGCATTTTTTACTCTCCCCAACTTTCCTATGGGGGAGAGCCACCAGAAGATCACCTTGGCATCCAGAAGACTCACCCCTGGAATAATGAGCACCTGGGAATCCCCTGAACACCGTGGGGCCACAGGGGCAGCCAGGCTCACTGCTCAGGGATGGAGAGCCCAATTCCGGGTGCTCACTGTGTTGAAGGTTGCATAAAGAAAAGCTCCTGGATCTGGGATGAGGGATCCTCGGGGAGAGGAGAACGCAGTTCTGTCTCTACAACATTGGCACCAGAACTGGCTCTGGTGTGGTGGTCCCACGACTGGATGGTAGAATGGGTGGTGGCAGAGTATGGGAACTGGAAGAGCAGAGCACTAAGAACTGTGGCCTTGGGAGTCCAAGTATGGAGCACCTCCACAGGGCTGAGGCATCCTGGTACTTGGCCGAGAGGGAGAGCATCAGTCCCGGGCTGTACCTGGCCTTCGCTCAACAGTGACACCTTGTGGCAGTGAGAAGCAATGGCAGCAGCAGGTGCTCTGACAGTCTTAGTCCTCTCCCCACTGGGGTGTGGAAGCAGATGGCTTTCCCAAATTTGGACTAAGACCTCAGGTTCTCAAACTCTTCATGGTTAAGGGGGAGCCTCAAGAGAGAGATCCAGAGGACTCCTTGCTACTAAAGCTTGTGGTGACCGGCAGGACGAAACGGGAAAATGGAGAAGCTTTGGCAGTACTGGTTCTTTCTGTCACGGACAGACAGCCGCACGGCCGGGGGACTGGTGCTCAGCAGGGGGGCTCATAGGGTTGCTGAGTCCCAGGAGAGGGCACCCAGCCCGGGGGAGTGCCAGGGGACGCGCTGAGACGGGGGTGGGGCAGGGCCAGGCCCAGGGCGTGTGGTGAGCGAGGGCCTGGCAGCGAGAGGCCAGAGACGGCCAGCTGGCCCGGACGGCGGGCCCGCAGCTGGGGAAAGGGCTGGCCGGGGGCTGCGGTGGGAAGCGCAGGGCGAAGGCTGCAGGGCGCAGCGCGTTCACGAGGGAGCCACGCTTTTGGCTGTGCTGTTGTTCACCTCACAGTGGAGACCTAGAGACCCCAGGGCGAAAGTGGCTCACACAAGGTCACCCAGCTGGTTGGGGGCCATTCGGGGCTCGAGGAGGAGGCCAGCAGGGAGGCACCACTCACCTCAAGACATCCAGAGCGGAGCTGCAGGAGGAGGTGGTCCGCCTGGCCCGCTGCAAGGAGAAGCAGGGCTTCGGGCTGGGACGTGGAGAACTGTAGCCGGAGGTCTATGTCGGTCAGAACCGTGGCCACGGGCACCTCCAGGTGGTTCTCTCCGAAGAAGGAGGCTGTGTGACAGAGGGGGCTGGGGTCAAAATGCGGACTCATGCCTGGAAGAGGAGAGGGGCTGCAGAGGATGAGTAGCCTGCGGGATGGAGTACATGCTGGTGCAGCTTTGTGGTTCTGGGTGGCCCATCACCGGCTTGGTCCTGGCACCAGAAGGCAGAGCCTTACCTTGTGTCCAGCCCAGACCTTGGCTCCAAAGCAGGCCAGACCCATTCCAAGCAACTCATGTTTCTTCCTCAGAGGTTCCTGGGGCCAGGGGCCTTGGCCAGCTCTAACTCTCCTCCCCTGAGCCCTAGAGGATTCTCCATCCTGGGTCTAGTCCCTCTCGGGCCTAAAGGAAAACCATCCTTGACTGGGTCACCCGGCCTGATGGTCATAGCCCCCGAAATGGAGTTCCAGGAGAACCATCCCTACCCCACACTGATCCCTGCTCAGATTCCTTCTCCTAAATGCCCTATGCTTTGGTTCTTGGGCAGTGCTTTCCATACCATGCCCTCCCACTGTGGTGCTCAGACAGGCAGCCCACTCATCCCAGCTTCTCTCTTGGGCCGTGCTCCCAAATGTCTTTGGGGGTGGGGGTGGCAGCTTGTCGACTGAGTCTATCAGGGAGCAAAGGCTCTGAGGCCAGATGGAGACCACGTGCAGTGCTGGACCCCAAATGGGCTAAAACTTCCTGCATCACCCCATATTGCTTCCTGCTGCGGAGCTATTGATATCCCTGGTGAGTGGTCAGATCCGGCCCCATTGTTTCCACCATGGCTGGGGAGGCGTTGATGACTACAGCTGACTTTTCTGAGCCTGGGTCTGTGGCTAAAGACAGGGCTTGGGAAGGCTGAAGGTTTGCTGAGCAGGCCAGAGGGCCTAAGTCCAGATGGCCTGAGCAGGCCATATCTGGGGTTTCCCAAGGCTGGTGGTCACTGTGCAGGGCCCTTTTGGTCCCACACTGGGATACCTCCTCTTTTTAAGTTGCCACCTTCTCCAGACTGTTTCCCAAAATTAGCCTCCCTTGACCTCCAACCAGCTGCAACAATTTCTGGTTTATTCTTTCTGTAGAGATTAAGGCCAAGGATGACTTTGACTCTGTCCCCCAGAGGTCCAGGGCTAGAGAAGCCAGGGCGGGGGTCGGGGGGGGCAGGAATGGTTTAAAAAGGCGATTCATCTCTCTGGGGCTTCTGATGGCCTTGATAGGGATGATGTGGCACCAGCCACATACATGCTGGTCCCTGACCTGAGGAGGTGGCATCAGCCACTGGAAGAGTCCGCAGGGATGCCCAAGAAAGATAACGCTATTCCTCTTGGGCGGAGCTGAAATCCCTCCAGGGATCCCCTCTTGCCAGCACTTGTTGGCAACGCCAGAACCTTGTCTGAGGGGCTGAAGGGATCAGCTGAGGGCTACAAAACCATCTGCTTGGCTATGGCCCAGCAGAGCCAGCACACCCTGGTGCTGGTGAGGGGCAGACCCTCCCTGGGAGAACTGACAGGGGGCGGGCACCTCATCCGCAAGGATGTCGATTCTTTTTTTTTTTTTTAACATTTTATTTATTTATTTGAGAGAGAGAGAAAATGAGTGGGGAAGAGGGGCAGAGAGAGAGGGAGAAGCAGACTCCCCACTGAGCAAGGAGCCCCATGTGGGGCTAGACCCCAGGACCCCAAGATCACGACCTGAACTGAAGGCAGGCGCCCAAAGACTGAGCCACCCAGGCACCTCAAGGGCATTGATTCTTAAGAACAAAAGGCAGCACACAGAACTGAGGGCAGCCCCTGCACAGAAGGTGGGGCCCCCGCAGGTTGGAGCTCACAGCAGTTGTTAAGAGCTGACTTGTTAAGTTTGCAGGAATTCTGCCAGCCAGGTGATGTTACACCACATAAGAGGCAAAGGCTACAGATCTGCGCTCCCTCTCCCCCAGAAAGCCTGTTGCTCAACCTTTACCTGTTTAGCATGCATGGGGAGGAGGGGAGTAAGCTCACACCCATTCACACTCCCTTTTGTCAAAGGTGGATGTGGGGACGGTCTGCAGCAGGAAGGGAAGGAGATGGTTGGCTCTGCCCACCGAACCACCTGCCTCTAGCCCCCTCCCACAAGAGGAGAGGGCAGCCCGTTTAGCCTCGTTCTCCAGGCCAGAGTGGGAGGGCGGCAGGAAGTAGAGGTACTTTCCAGAGAGCTGGGGTCTGAATGAGCCTATTGAGGGGCTGGGCCCTGCTGCTTCCTGTGGGGCTGGGCAGGGAAGCGCTCACACAAGCTGCCTTGTGCGGCTGGAAGTGTGCGGGCTGGGCAGCCCCCTCGTCCCAACAGAGGCCTCGGAGGACTTGCTGGCCAGCGTTTTGGAAACTCTGACAGCGCCGGTCCCCCCACCTCCTGGTCTCCTTCCGCTGCCCCTTACCGGCTCTGATGGGCGGCAGTTGCAAGGTCCCAGCATCCCTGTCCTGGGAGACAGTAGGAGAGGCTGCAAATGGGGAGGCAGTGCAGGATAAAGAAGTGAGTTAGGAGTCAGTTCCAGAAGGTTTCCTGGAGGAGGTGAGGGTGGTATAGAGGAGAGAGGGAGGGAACTGGGTAGTTTCAAAGGGCAGCAAGGCTCTGGGAAAGTTGGAGACAGAGGAGGAGAGGGAAAAGTAGCAGGAACCAAGCCAGCCTCAGTGGCCTGACTGGGGTCCCAGGGCAGTGGGGGGAGGAGAGAAGGCATCATCATGGCTTGGAGACTTGCCCTTGACTCTCCTGGGTCAAGAAGACCCATGATTCATCCAAACACCAGCTGAGGCCTGTAGCAGCTATGTGGGCTGCCCTTTGGGCGGGGAGAAGGGGCCCCATCCGGCCTCCTGGTCAGCATTTTGTAAAATGGGCGCTCCTTCCCAGTCTCTCCCCCTCCTGTCTGTGGGGATTAGTCCCAAAGGTCCCTTTCTGGTGCTGGAGTCTGCTCTCAGGGATATGTAGAGGGTTAATGGTGCAGGCTGTCTGGGTGGTGCCAAGCGTTCAGTGTTGGGGGGAGCCGGTGCCACAAGGGGTCTGGGGTGAGTGGGAGAGCTGAAAGAATGCCGAATGTCTGGGTTTCTCTACCTGCAAGACAGTTCGTGGGTGGGTGTCCAGGACTACGTAGATGTCTATTTGCGTGTGTGTTCAAGTGTGTGGGTGGCTGCTCGGGGGTGTGTTTTGGGTTTGCGCAAGGCTGTGTGTTCGTGCATGTGTGCGCGTGTGGGCTGGAAGCCGCCGGGACAGAGCCGTGATTGTGCCGGGCCTGTCCTGCCCCTCGGTGCTGCCCGCCGTGACTTGGCTGGGCCAGGCTCCATGAAAGGGGCCATGTGTTCCTGGAGGGCACCCACCCCTCCTGCCCGGCGCCCATCCATCCCAGAGGTTTGCCGAAGGTGGAGCATCCCTCAGCTTCCCGCCCTTCCTGACCACGGACTGGGTGTTCTGTCTGGACCAAGGCTCCATCCCTCTTCCTGAGACAGGGCTCGGGGGCACAGAAATAGCCTATGTCCTTTCCCACCAAGCCTCTTCTCAGACGGGGAGATGAAGCTTAGGCGAGTGTCCCTAGCAAGCCACCATCTGGCCGGCCACAGGTTGTGCTGACATCTCCTGTCTCCCTGGGGCACTCCTAGTGTATGTATGAATGGGGACCTGAAGCCTGCCCCTGGGGGGCCCAAGCATGAGGCTTACTTGCCCCATGATGCTCTACTCTTATCTGTCAGTGGCTTGGGACAAGGGGTCTCTTTGTGGGGAGCATCTCTGCTCCACCCCATCAGGCCCCCACCATGCTCTCCCAGGCTGACCAGGGGCAGGGTCTCAAGCATGGGTCCCTTTTCTAGTCACCGGGGGTGGGGGTTGCTGTAGACCCTGATCCTTCTGAGTCCTCACAATGCCTAGGGCTAGTCACACTGTCTGTCTCCAAGTCTCTGTCCCTTATCTCCTCTGTCTCTGTCTTGGCCACTCGGCCACCTTGCTGCCTTATCTCTGCCTCTCCCTGTCTTTATTTGCCTTTGGCTCCCCCCTTCCCCCTGCCCTATCCTGGCTATCGCTGGGAGCACCACCCTTGCCCCAGAACAGTCTAGAGAGCTAGGCCTGGGGCCTCTTGCCTTCCCAGCCCTGGGCGCCCCCATCCTTGGGTGATGGGTTCCATGATATCAAAGTTCTCTACAGCTTTAGCATTCAGTAGGGTTTCCAGACAAACTGAGGCTCCAGAGGAAAAACAATTTGACAGAGAAGCAGAAAGCCTGCAGGTCTTGGCCCAGCCACCCGACTGAGTCCCGCCCATGCAGGCACCCCTAGCCCACCCTACTCCCAGGCAATCAATCCCTGTGTGTCCCTCTCCCGCCACATTCCTTGTTGCCTGGGGACAGCCAGGCGGCCGCACAGTCAGCATGCGTCACAGGCAGCAGGATTCCTGGGTGTCTGCTGCCGCCTGACTTTATAAGGGAGGAAGTTTGGGAGTCAGAGCTGCTGGGCAGGATGGCCCGGGGGCGCGCCCAGGTCCCAGGGGAAAAGGGGGGGCAGTGGGAGACTTGGACATGCGTATGCTGGGGAGGTGTACCCAGTGGTACTGAGATGGAGCAGGAGGTGAGAGAAGGGGGATCCATATTCATTCATTCATTCACTCACTCACTCACTCACTCACTCACTCACTCACTCACTCACTCACTCATTCATTCACAAGCACAGTATCACGGTCATGGAAAAGAAGAACCCACCTGGGGGAGAGAGAAAGCCTGAGAAAGATGTTAAAACCGAGAATGAGAAATGAAGACCTCCCTCCTCCACAAAAACTGCACTCGGGCCCAGACAGAGGCCTGATGAAGGAGATGAAGGAGGAGAAACCAAGAGAGACCTGGAGATCCTGTTCCAGATCCACATCCTAGGCAGGCAGTGGTGAGGCTGGGAGAGCCCTTCTGAGAAGTCTGAGGGGGGCCGTGGGGGAGTGCTCTAGGATGGCCAAGCAGGGATGAAGGGCTCTCTGTCTCCCTTATGGATACGTATGTGGGTATGTATGTGGGTGGCCCTGCATGAGGGCAG